TTTTAAATTCCCTTACTCGTACCACAGTCCTCCGAACCTATTTTTTCTACCTCTTCTTGTTCTGCACCTCCCCTGACCTCCAGACTCCAGACGTGATTCCGACTACGTAGCTTAAGATGTTTGTTTCCACAGGTATTTTCTCTTCAGTGGATGATGTCTGATTGAAACACTTGTAGATGGAAATCACTTCATTTCTCATGATAGATTTTCAAATAATAAAAAATAATGTAGAGCAGCTCTGTTTAGTGTGGCGATCTCCCCAATGTGTGTCATCTCTGTGGGAGACTACTTCTTCCCCAGGCTGACCCTTGACCCCACACCCAACACTCAAATTTCTAGGAACCTCTCAAACCTTCTACTCCAATACTTTTGATAACAAAAAGTAGTAGCCCATTATCTGTTGTTTTTCTAGCTATTTTTCATTATTCTGTGCAAACCCAGAGAATAGAAGTCTTACGTTACCTGGATTATATTCACTTTTAAAATACTTCCCAGGTGGGCACCTGGGTGGCTCAGTTGGTTAAGCGACTGCCTTCAGCTCAGGTCATGATCCTGGAGTCCCAGGATCGAGTTCCGCATCGCGCTCCCTGCTCAGCAGGGAGTCTGCTTCTCCCTCTGACCCTCTTCCCTCTCATGCTCTCTTTCTATCATTCTCTCTCTCTCAATAAATAAAAATCTAAAAAAAATTAAAAAATAAAATAAAATAAAATAAAATACTTCCCAGGGCGCCTGGGTGGCTCAGTGGTTAAGCATCTGCCTTCTGCTCAGGTCATGACCCCAGGGTCCAGGGGTTGAGCCCCGCATCGGGCTCCCTGCTCCGTGGGAAGCCGGCTTCTCCCTCTCCCACTCCCCCTGCTTGTGTTCCCTCTCTCGCTGTGTCTCTCTCTGTCAAATAAATAAAAAAAAATAAAATCTTTAAAATACTTCCCAAACTTAAAATTGTATCTTCCATTTCATTTCGTCACCCTGTCTCCTTATTACAGCACTCTAAACCAAAGTGAATTACATGTTGTAGGTACTAATTGTGAACAACAGAAATATGTGTGATATTCAGATCTATCATTACACTTACATAGTATTGCTCACACTGAAATTTTATATAAACGTTTAAATAAAAAGATTAGATCATTTAGTGCCACTTAAACATGTTTATATATTGCAAAAATGCTAATATTTAGTGCCCCCTGCTGTTAAAGTGATTTATTTGCTATTAAATATTTTAATGATTTTTCTCTCATTGACCAAACTTTAAGTCATATGTACTTTTACTAACAGCTCGACCAAGAGAAAAGTCTACTCATCCATGTTTGCTTATAGCTCAGCTCAAGTTCTGTGCACGAGCAACAGAGTTTTGTTTGTTTGTTGCATTTTCCCAAATGGGAAAAACAGTCTTATACTGTTGAGCCTCAACTCAAACAGAGCAGAACACTTTCTCATGTACTTTCCTACTATTTGGTACATACTTACATGATGTTCTCACACTGTTGGGATTCTCTTTTTGCTTATATCTCTCCCCAGATCGAAGCACTTGAAAAGCACGAACTATGTCCTACCCACTACTGTCTCTTCAAGGCCTGTCACAGCCTCTGGCCCATCAGAAATGCTTAAGAGATGTTTGCCCCACAAATGAATGTATGAGTGAATGTCATTGCAGAATCCTAATTATCAGAGGGGTTTATGTTCCATTTCCAAACAGAAATCACATGAACAGGAATACCCCTGGGGGTGGCATATATAATTTCCAGTAGAACATTACTAGTAATTTCAAACTTGTTATAGAGCTCATGTCATTCATTTCTAAAAAGTTCAGATTATTAAGAAACTTTTTTGATTATGCTGACCCAAAATTTAACAATGATATCTGAAAATAACATCCTCTTTCTTTTCTGTCCTCTGTCGAAGTAAAAAGTAAATCTAGTTTTATGTCCATTTGGCATTTTGTCGTATCTGCACAGGGAAATTAATTCCTGACATTTTTTTCTTGTTTTTGACTAAACCTCATCAAATATTCTAATAGTCTGTGCAGGCTGTATTATAAGGTCCTAAGTCACCTTTCCTGTGGCTTAAACTCTAGCCCTTTTATTTAGAAAAGACCTAGATAGTGAACACCCGAGAAATTCTAAGATTCAGCTTTCATCCAGAATCTGGTCAAATGGCCTGTGTCTGTTTTCATAGGCAAAAGATGAAGAGATGAAAATGAGAAGACTTAGCCTTATTGTCATTTAACAGAGACCAGAGAAAGCTCATTTCTGAACTCTTGAACTGCAGATCAAGTACAGAGAGTACCAGGTAAGAGAACTGAGGACAGGGATCAAAATCTGGCTAAAAATAATGCATAGGAAATAGAGTGTAGGTCTCCGAAGAGACGATTTCATTTGCTACTTTTTTTTTTAAGGTTTTATTTATTTGAGAGAGAGCGAGAGCACAAGGAAGCGGGAGCAGGGGGAGGGACAGAGGGAGAGGCAGACTCCCCACTGAGCAGGGAGCCCCATGGGGGCTCCATCCCAGGACCCTGGGATCATGACCTGAGCCAAAGAAAGACACTTTAGCCAACTGAGCCACCTAGGCGCCCCTAATTTGCTGCTTTTGAAAGCCTATCAGTTATATTTTTCTGGAGCATTCATTCTTTTTATAATATAATGTTTATAAGATCTCATCTCCCTCAATTTTCTAACAGAAAAATAGGCATGTGACAAACTAAGTTTGGGCTTCAGCTTGTGTTAGTATAATCCAGTCTGTCTCATTGCGCATCGAGCTTACATCCCATTTATATTTTCCCCACTCAGCTTGACTGAGTTCCCTGTTCAGGATCAAATGGTGAAACTATGTACATGCACATGAAACACTTGGACGAGATATTATCTCATATGTATTAAAAATCAAAATCCGAGGGAAATGTAGTTCTACTGTTTTTGCTAATATCAATGAAATATGGACATTTCTCCAGTAACTAAGGAAATAAAAAAAAAAGTAAACTGGGGTGCCTGACTGGCTCAGTCAGAAGAGCAAGTGATTGTTGATATCGGGGTTGTGAGTTCAAGCCCCTCGTGAGGTGTAGAGATTACTTAAATAAATAAAACTTAAAAAAATTAAACTGATAAGACTTACAAATAGGCCCCCAAATTTAAATGAAATGTATAGCACTCAGTAAATAAACAGGAGCAGGCAGTTACAATATAACACAAAATATAGATAGACTTTATGGTACTAATATATCAACTAGATGAACTACCTCTTTCTAGACTCTAGTTTGTTTTTTAGATAATTTTATTTTGACAAATTTAATCTTTGCATAATACGCATGAAAACAATTTAGAAGGACTGTTGAGTTGATCTACCAGTGAGTCAAACTGTATTCATTTTACTTCTCTGGCAAGTATTTTCATTGATCCTTTAAATCTATAAACACATTAGCATTAACATTGTGGGTTTATTGTGGGTTTTTTTTTCTTTTACTGGACAAAACAATTCCATTGTTAATGATGTTTATATTAAATTACAATAGGCTTTCACATTAAAAGGACTAACATTTCAGCAGACAATAAAGACAAGATATGGGAGGAAGAACATGTACTCTTCTTTGAATCTCAAAAATATTTTTACGTATTTTGGAAGCGGGAGTTGAAGTTTCTCATTTTGCTTCTTAGTGACTTAGACCCTGAATGGCTAATAGAAATTAAAATGCTTTAAACTAAAACTCTTTTTAAGGCACTAAAATGAGCAAACTAGAATTATTTCTTATATCTCAGGAATTAAATAGTGGAAGGTATTTTCTAATCACAAAATAGGGTTGGCTTAGACTCTAAGCATATATCAAAAGTTTACTCATATTTAAGACATAATTAAGGCAGTTGCTTATTTAATGAAGAAAGAAAATAAGGAAAATAATCCATGCAGTACAGGGGGATCATGCTTTGGGCATGTGTCTCTTTTTATATCCAGTGATACATTACTGGTGAACATTCCTTACTTAGTTCAACCTGACTTGCTACCAACAAACAACATGTAATTGAGATGTTCATAGATTGATACTGGATGAGCTTAATGAAGGGTTCTACTTCTGCACATCTCTGGAATTAAAACAAAAGGCACTAAACCTACAATTAACAGCTGGAGATAACATATAATTTTCCAGAGCCCAATAGCAGTTTTTATGTTTCTCCATTGTGCTTCATATATTGGCCTATTTGCTGTGGATTTTGCCCTGGGAAAGCTGAGAGTTTGTATGTGCTGAATTGGGATATCATTTTCTGTGACCTCTGAATGTTAGCGATAAAAGCTTTACTGTCAGGGAAACATAGGCAACATGTTGCCTTTTTACCATTAGAGATGTTGTCATTTGCTTCTCACAACAGAAATGCCTGTGGGTTGCACCACAGCTGAGACACAGTTTGTCAAACATCCTTAATCAGCAAACACATCAGAGAGTACAGTCACGCTTAGAACATCCATTCCATTGCCATGAATCACGTGTTATTTAGTAAAACATCCTGCCAAAGATATCACTGAAATAATTTGATGTGTTAAAAAGAACAATACTACATAAATCAAGGAAAGGAGCAGCAAAACTTTTAGATTTTTCCTAGCAGTCTACTGTATGTAGTGAGTAATTTGTATGAGCACTTTCCTTTAAAATTAAGGAAGTATCAAGTAATTGAGATGATTTCATTGAATTGCATACACTCAAATAGTGTGAAAACAGAGAAATTTAGAGCCAAAAGCCCAAGCCATAATGTCCTAAGACTATAAAAACGCTATCTCTAAGTAGAATTACCTCATATAAAATTGCACATGTGCAGAAACAATATGCACATATGTAATGTCCAAGCAGAATGTTCAATATTTAAATTTTTTAGTTTACACAAAAATTATAGAAGACAGCATTCATCATTTCATACTAATTGAGTAATGGATTATAAAAAGTTCTTTTAATAAAAGTAAAAAAAATAAAAATAATTTTGAAAGCTCCGCCTCCGCCGCCGTTGCTTGAATGGTGGAGCCGAGGCTGGGCTCGTGAACACACAGTGACAGCTCTAAGGCAGGCGGCGGCACCATCCCCGCTTCCCCTCGGCGGCGGGGTGTCCCGCCAGCGGCCCTGAAGTGACCCATAAACATGTCTTGTGAGAGGAAAGGCCTCTCGGAGCTGCGATCGGAGCTCTACTTCCTCATCGCCCGGTTCCTGGAAGATGGACCCTGTCAGCAGGCGGCTCAGGTGCTGATCCGCAAGGTGGCCGAGAAGGAGCTGCTGCCCTGCCGCACCGACTGGACCGGGAAGGAGCATCCCAGGACCTACCAGAATCTGGTGAAGTATTACAGACATTTAGCACCTGATCACTTGCTGCAAATATGTCATCGGCTAGGACCTCTTCTTGAACAAGAAATTCCACAAAGCGTTCCTGGAGTACAAACTTTATTAGGAGCTGGAAGACAGTCCTTGCTACGCACAAATAAAAGCTGCAAGCATGTTGTGTGGAAAGGATCTGCTCTGGCTGCATTGCATTGTGGAAGACCACCCGAGTCACCAATTAACTATGGTAGCCCACCCAGCATTGTTGACTCCCAAAATAAAAATAAAGATTTAAACCCAGTTTAGAAAGACTCAGAAAAAAAAAAAGAAAAAAACTATGTTTAAGAGAGCAGCCAAGATGCCCTTCAAGAGATGAATGGATAAAGAAGACGTGGTCCATATATACAATGGAATATTACTCAGCCAACAGAAAGGATGAATACCCAACTTTTACACCAACATGGATGGGACTGGAGGAGATTATGCTAAGTGAAATAAGTCAAGCAGAGAAAGTCAATTATCATATGGTTTCACTTATTTGTGGAACATAAGGAACAGCATGGAGGACATTAGGAGAAGGAAGGGAAGAATGAAGGGGGGCAAATCGGAGGGAGAGATGAACCATGAGAGACTGTGGACTCTGAGAAACAAACTGAAGGTTTTAGAGGGGAGGGGGTTGGGGGCATGGGTTAGCCCGGTGATGGGTATTAAGGAGGGCATGTACTGCATGGAGCACTGGGTGTTATAGGCAAACTATGAATCGTGGATCACCACATCAAAAACTAATGATGTACTGTATGGTGACTAACATAACATAATAAAATTAAATTAAAAAAAAACAAAAAAAAAACAAAAAAAATTTTGAGAAAGTTTGTTAAGAAAGTCTGGTGATGTACTAAGATTACAGGCTTAATAGGTAAAAAAATTTAGTCAAAAAAGGTTTTTCTGTAAATAAGGGCTTATGTTTAAATTTCTTTCTAGTTTCTGCTAAGTCTGACTTTCTGAGTTTGGGGCGTCATTTTACACTTACTTGTCCTTATATTTCAAATGCTGTGTGTGGTAACTTACAATAAGAAACATGACACAAAGGGGTGCCTGGGTGGCTCAGTTAGTTAAGTGTCCGACTCTTGATTTCAGCTCTGGTCATGATCTCAGGGTCATGAGATGGAGCCTGGTGTGGGGCTCTGTGCTCATCAGGGAGTCAGCTTGAGATTCTCTCTCTCCCTCTCCCTCTGCCCCTCCCCCTGCTCACGCTCTCTCTCTCTCACTCTCTCTCTCTCTCTCTCTCTCTCTCCCAAATAAATAAATAAATAAATAATTCTTTTAAGAAAGGATGACATAAAAAATTTAAAAAATATATATACATATTAATGAAACATGAGAAGGAATTATATATATAGGGAAATACTATGAAAAGAACAGATGTAAAGTTACTCTAGAAAAAGACACATTATAATGTCCTTGTAATATTTAAGTTGGACCACACATTTGGTTCTGATATTTCTACAGATTAAAACAAAAAATGAAATGTGCTAGGTTATAAATTTATATTGTGTATTGTCTAAATCTCATACCACAAATGCATAGCAAGGAAGTATAAAAATAATGTGGGAAGAGAAATCCCAAATATAGCAGATAAAATGATATATGTAAATGTAATAAACCCATGTGTCAAAGAGACTAAAATATGAAGGGTTTTTTTTTTTTTTGCATTTGATGAAAAAAATTGACTTCCTTGTATGCAGTCCATGAAATGATGTACATGTATAGAAGAGCTGAAGCTGGAAATATAGGCATGAATATATGACCTTACATATAGCAAAATGTTCGATTTATTGAAATTGCACACTAAGTGATCCTTTTTTCCTGTTAAAACAAGCCTGTATAATTCTCTGGGACAGGAGGGTTTGGAGGTGTTCTCAAGCTGGGAAGTATATTTTGGGTTGATGGTAAAATGCATTCAGTTTTTATAACTGATCAATTTTTCTACTTTTTCTCTTGAATCAATAAATGTTTATTGTCTAAAATATTTTCCATGTTTTCTAAGGTCACCTGTCTACTGGCATATTATTCATTATATTCCCTTATGAATTTAAAGGTATCTACTATATATATAGTGACTTTTCCTTTTATGTTTTCTCTTATGTTATTTATTTTTCATTTGTTTTCTTCTCTCTTTTACATTGGCATTCTTTTCTCTTCTTTTGACATAATCTTTCCAGAGGAACATATGTATTACTATTCTTTTCAGTGATTTGTATTTTTTCTTTGCCAAGTCACACAAGTGATTCTTTATTTTCTCTATCATTTACATTCTTATCTTTATTATTTCACTCTCTTTTCCTTTGAGTAACTTCTCTGCTTTTGATTTTCTTCTTTTTTTTTAGGGATTTTATTTATTTATTTGAGAAAGAGAGAGTACAAGTGGGGGAGAGGGACTGAGGGAAAGGGAGAAGCAGACTCCATACTGAGCAGGGAGCCCAATGTGGAGCTTGCTCCCAGGACCCTAAGATCATGACCTGAGCCGAAGGCAGACATCTAACCAACTGAGCCACCCAGGCACCCCAGATTTTCTTCTTGAGATAATCTATGAAATTACTGAATTTTTATCTTTTTTCTTTTATAATTTAAGGTATATGAAGAATACATATGACATGGTATTTTATAAAATGTATGATAAATAGACACTAAACAAACAAAAATGTATATATAGATATATATATGTAAATGTACGTAGTGATAGTGAAAATATGAAATGGAGGCAAAAAAAGGCAGAAAAGAGAGAGAATAATCTCTAAAAAATTCACTGCAATACTAGTAGCAGATGTCTGTTGAAATTCAATATATGTTTACTACTTTTTCTTGTTTATACTTTTCTGTGCCTTTATGGTAAAAAATGATAGACTCATTTTCATACCCAAGAACAATAATTACTGGTATATTTGGAATTAAATCACTTTTATTTTTTAAAAAAGATTTATTTTAGAGAGAGAGAGTGTGTGTGTGAGCAGTGGGAGGGGCAGAGAGAAAGGGGGAGAATCCTCAAGCAGACTCCCCCTGAGTGGGGAGCCCATCGTGGGGCTCGATCCCAGGACCCTGAGATCATGTCCTGAGCCAAAATCAAGAGCTGGAAACTCAACCGACTGAGCTACCCAGGCGCCCTGGAATTAAATTAATTTTAAAAATGATTAAGTAAATGGGGATGCAAGATGTCAAATTTAGCTCATTTACTTAAATTCTCCTTTTTAAAAGGCCATAGAATTATATTAAAGCAATCAGAAGAAGGGTACATTCTACAACAATGTTTTAAAAACGAGAGATTCCAATAGAGAATGAAAGAACTAAAAAAAAAAACTTTGTAAAATATGGAACACCAAAGAAGCAATAGCTTCGAACATGTGCAGAAAGTTCAACCATTCAAGAGAGATTGGCTGTTGTAAAGGAAGATGACACACGTAGCAAAATCTCAGAGATCATTTAGTCTTAGAGACCACATGTATGGTGGAAAATTATAGTAAGAATGGGGGTTTTAATGGGACAAAAGTCATTCTCCACTATGGAAGTGTTTAATTCATCCCTAAATACCACCTCACCTCATTTTAATACAGAGTCATCTGAATCCATGTAGCTACTCTAAAAACCTTACAGAAAACTTTGAAATTGAAAGATGGGGCCTGAGAGAACCAAAGTTGAACCCCAGAGTAATGCCCTTTCTCAGTCTGATGTTTAGGAATCTTTAGGCATAAAGATGGAGATGAAATTGTTCATCCTAAAGCAAAGAATTCTGACCCTCTAGACCCATACAAAGTTCACTGACAGTCTCATTCTAAACCAGATAGACCCCTCAGGCTGTTAGACATTGAGGGAAGATGGCAATAAATGAAAGAGTAAGCAATAGAAACTAACACAAAAATGGAAAAGTGGGGGAGAAGATAATTAAAGGAACAGAAGATAATTTAAAACAACAAAAAGGAAATCCAATTAAATATTTTCTGAAATATTTAAAAAATCAATGAATAATACAAAGATCTAAAATGATTAAAAAGTAATAGGAGATCAAAAATAAAGACTGAATTTAAAAGCAAAATGGCTCAAAAAGTAAAAATCAGTAGTAGGTGATAAAAATCAAGAAAACATAACAAAACAGACGCTAGAAAAGGAGAAAGCCAAAAAAAAAAAGGGGAGGGGGGCCAGTGGAGCAGGGAAAAGACACAGAATATCAATTCAGTGGGAAGTGGGATAAACATCAACTTATAGCAATTCCAGAAAGATTAAATGTGATAAAAGGTAAAAGTTATTACAATTATTTAAGAAAATTCCTATGACCTGAAGAGAGGAAGAAATATTTAAATTGAAAAGGCAGAACATTTAAGGTCTAGTGTTTTAGCAACTCTGAAGTCTAAAATACAGTATTGTTAAAAAATGAAGTAACAAAGGGGTGCCTGGGTGGCTCAGTCAGTTAAGTGTCCAACTCTTGATTTTGGCTCAGGTCATGGTCTCGGGGTTGTGAGATGGAGCCCCATGTTGGGCTCTGCGCTCAGTGTGACTCTCCTTGAAATTCTCTCTCTCCCTCACCCTCTGCCTCTCCCCCTGCTGGGGCAGTGCATTCTCTCTCTCTCTCTCTCTCTCTCTCTCTCTTTCAAATTAAATAAAATCTTTTTTAAAAAAGGTAGGCAAAATATTTTTTAAATAATAAATAAATAAAATACAGTATTGTTGACTATAATCAGTATGCTGTACCTTAGCTCTGTAGAACGTACTCACCTTCTAGTTTCAAGTTTGTCCCCTTTGACCAACATCTCACCAATGCTTCCACCTCCTAGGCCCTGGTAACCACCATTCTACTCTCTATTTGTTCAGCAAAAAAACAAAACAAAAACAAAGCAAAAACAAAACAAAAACCTAGAATAGTGGGGGAAAAAAAAGGCATACAATAAGATGCAACAAATATATCTTAGGTAACCAGCATAAAATTGACAACAAAATTGAACAAATATCACACAATAAAAGAATATGAAAAGCAATCTCCAATGAATTTTGTCCTCTTTTCTCAGTTACATTTTTTCATTTATTGTAGTATAATTTCCATATAGTAAAATTCACCCTTTTTTAATGTGCACTGTTCCATGAAATTTGACAATTTTAAGTAACTATTACTGAAAATCAAGATATGAACATATGCCTATCACCTGGAGAAGTACCTTCATGCCACTTTTAGTCAGTCCCTCCCTCCTTTCCCATCCTTGGCAACTACTGATCTCATTTCCATACCTGAAGTTTTAATTTTTCCAGAATGTTATCTAAATTGAGTCCCACCATTTGTAGAATTTGGGGTCTGGCTTCTTGCACTTAGCATAATGCTTTTTGGCATTTGTCCTTGTTTTTGC